TCTTTCTCATTTCCATCCTCAAGGGTCATTGGCATTTGACTATATCTTATATTCTTTTGTAGTACTTTTTTAACTTCAAAAATTTTTAAAAATGTCGCTCTTCACTATCATGTATGATTTCTCTTAATGTTTTGGCTATGCCTATTTTTCTTCTGTAGTTTTTCAATTGGGAAGATTCTTATAGTAAGCGTTTCACTGTTTGAGGTATGTCATTGCATTTTTCACACGTGGGCGCTTCGAGACCTCTCAGAAGGTAGCCACGTGTAAACTGGCAATATCCAATCCTAACACGGCACAGGATTACTTGTTATCTCCTCTGGCTTCTGGAGATAGTGAGTCATTTACCGCAATTGGGTTTCACTTCTGTCAGTTCGCAGTCTTTGCTTTTCCATTCTTTCTCCCACTCTGCTAGTAGTGTTTCTTTATGTGGTGTAGCCAGTCTTTTTAGTTAACCTCTTTTAATCTAATTACCCTCATTTCTTCCAGCTAAATGGGCTGCTTGTAATGCTTTTTTGTTTCTCAAATGGCCCCAGTGGACTGGTACCCAAACTAAGACTGCTAATATGCCCTACTTTTTTACTTCTCACCATATATTCATTTTGGTTTAATTATCGAATTGCTTTAGGATGGGGTAAGACACTCCAGTCCGTTACAACGATTCAGTATTTTTTTATGGAATCTCCTACAAAATAAAGACTGTTCAAAATAATATTCGTGTGAGTATGGAGCGTTCACAGTTTAAATAGGAGCTGACTCTTCTTACTCGTTACATCACATCCTACGCTGTCACGTAGGATTCATTGGGGTATCAGTGTATATGAAATCGAAATTTATATTTTTTTTAGTTATTTATACTTTTCTTTTTGCTGAAAAGTTGTATGTTATTCTCTGTTTTTGACAATAATAACTTCCAATTAAACAAAAATTGATTTATGTGTTGTATTTATAAGATTACATGTTTATGTTTCGATCCAACATTGAAACACTTAGGGACCAGAATTTTACAACACATTACTAACTATAAAAATACAAAAAAAAAAATAAATAAATAAACACAACAGCTTTAGCACATCACATAGCATAAAATTACAAAACAAAGTCAACTTCAATAAATCGCAGATATTAGGCACAGAACCAAAAGACAACAATAGAAAATTACTTGAAGCCATCCACATCACAAAAAACAATAGAACAATAGTAAATTATAAAACAGACACCAAACATTTGGGGACACATTATGCTGATATACTAAACAAAATTAAAATTTAGTAAAAATAAAATTTCAGCTACAGAAAAAATAAACATTTAACAGCAATAGTTTTTTTTTTTATTTTATTAATTTATTAAGACATATAATATTCTGTCACAGGGACAATAATTATATTGATAAATGAACACATTCACACCGTATATACAAAAAAGAAACAAAATTAACAAAAGTAAAATAATAACTAAATAATAATAAATAAAAACTATATACAATAAAAATAAAATAAAATAACCTAAATATAATATATAATATAATATAACAGCAATAGTAAAAAAATAAATAGCCATGTCCAAAGGTCAATTGTATTCACCATGGTAGATACCCAATAATTGGTCTAAAGGCATGATGATGTTCTGGATATTATATACTATAATTTGTTATAACATGAATTTAGAACCTGACAATGGAGCACATTAGACTTAAAGTAATTACAAATTTAATGTAACAACTCAATTCTAACATGTATTGTAACATGCTTTATATTTAACTCATTTTTAGCCATGAATCGACGAAGAAACATGGGATTGTAGTTCTCAAGATAGCAGAAATTTTCCCGAAACGTAAACTTGTAAATACAACAAATAAATCAATTGTTATTTAATTAGAAGTTATTATTACAGCAAATCTGCTGATTGTCACTACCATGACAGGTGCGGATGAAGATGTAAAGACAAAAAAAAAAAAAAATTATTGCCCAAAACAGAGAGTTATTTATCCTGTTATACTTTAATATAAAGAATTTAGTTCAGACCTGGTATCTATCGTGATTTGACACGATTTTCTTAAAAATTGGTCTGAATTTTAACTAAATTGCCAATTACTTTTGAATAGACCGTAATAAGCTTCTTATAATATTGCAAAGAGATCTTAGTAATTCTAAATGTCAAACATTATAACAATCATTCATTGTTTGAACCAGGTTGAAGATTTATGTTCCGAGTAATCACTTAGCTAATCTAAACTGAAACTTCAAATAATAAAGTGCTCACTTAATCCTTACTTATAAATGTACTTATCTCCTCCTACCTGGTTTGGAAATTAAAACTGTCATTTATATATATATATATATATATATATATATATACTTTATATACTTATATATATATATATATATATATATATATATATATATATATATATATATATAATTTGCTTATAATAGCACTTATTTATTGAAAAATATTACAATCTGTCTCAAAGGACATTTATATCAGAGAGCACATTCACACTCTATGTACAATAAATAAAAATAAATTAAACAGTAAAATAATATAACTAAAAATATGTTATTATGATATTACATATTTTTTAAAAATATAAATAGAATTATTCCTAATAACATTTGTACCAATTATAATTTAACTGTTAAGTAATAAATACAGTGCTATAATTACTGTTACGATTGCAATTTACCCATAACAGAATAGATTATAGTTTTCAAAGATGGATTGGAAACCCGAAACATTGGATTAGGGTATCATAAATAAATATTTAACATAAAAACCTATGAATCTGGGATTGAACCTTCAAAAGACCCGCAAGACAGCTACTTCTTACTGGTGCGATCGTAAGGCGTAGATAGTATTGTGGCTATGTATACCTACAATAACTACAAGAAATATAGTTTTTCTATGTGTTTTTCTATTGACTTAACAGATCTTGTAGATATTTAGCTACCTTAACCTTTTCCATCTCTGCTTGTATCAGGCAATTTATTTCCATATGCAGCTCTTTGAATTATTTTTTTATTCTATCTGTCCATCCTGTTTTTGTGCTTAAACGAAGTCTCTTGACAAATATTGACTGATCCTGATGGATTGTTCCGTGTTACATATTTTACACATCTTAATCTCCTTGAGATACTGTACTTCATACCATGAGATACTGATTGGACACTTTCTGTAAGCAGTTCGTTAGTTCCGTTTGGATTTCAAAACTAATTTTAAGGATTCATTTTAGTGTTCAGATCTCGCAGCCGTATATCAAAACTGGCTTTATCACAACGTTTTGATATTTCTAGGGATTTTTAGAAATTTAAATATCTTTGCAAGAGCGAAGATTTTTTTTTTTTTGCGCTTTTTATGCACTTGTATCTTTTCCATAGTTACTCATTCATTGAGTTTATGAAGTTTATGATATATCCATATATCCTAGGTATTTGGATTTTCTACTCTTGGGAACGATTTCTATTATTTGTTTTGTATGGTCATGATTCACTTACTTGACGGTCGATTTTCCCTGCTCTTAATGCGTTTTTTAGTTTTCTCTCGGTTGCTATGTGCTATATTTTACCTGAAACCTATGTTTTATATTATACCTACAGTTATACATATCTGAAAAAAAATCTATAAATATAAAATCATTCATCAACAATATTTATTGTTTCAGACTTGCCGTTTACAATAATGATGAATACAATTTTTTTGTCCATCAATATGTATATGATTAATTTGTCACTTGATGTTCTTCTAAATCATTAAATTTAAAATTACTAATATCCTTTGTGGTGGGTGGTGAGTTTTAACTTTATTATTAATAAAACTTGAATTAATAAAGACAAAATTCCCAAGTGATGAACCTTTGTTTATTCCCTACCATGGCAATATATTGTCATACTCTCATCGAAAGTTAAATAAAACTTATCTCTAATTGCTATAAATATATTCTAATGGCTACATATTATTCTTTAAATTCTAGTTTAAATTTAAAAAAATATATTTATGGCACCTGTGATCGAAGAGGAAGCAAGGTTAGAAACGAGAGGGTTCGGATGGTTCTGAAGTTTATTATGGAAGGATAGAATTGGGCCAAGTAGGAAACATAGAGAACATTAAGGTCTTTATGGATGATTTTATTAGTGACAAAGTAAGGAGCATTGAGAATTTTAGATTATAAGGATTGGATACGTGAGGAATTCGATGGTTTTGTGGAGCCCTAAACCTCAACTCTCAAGTCCAAATAGATGTTATTGTAGTCATGTATATGAGTCTTTTGTAATTAACGAAGCTAATTAAAGATAAGAGCATTTATCTAGTAAGTACTGGAGTAGTAGGAAACGTCGAGCTGTTTCTTGTCGTTTCAGTCTGGTTTGAAGATTCCAAGTCAGACGTTTGTTTGTCGAAGGTATCGGATTTAATCATTAATTAAAAAAAGTTTTAACTTTCACTTACCTATATATGGAAGTAAGGGAAAGTATTGCGATCGTGAAAAATATTTTCGAATCCGAGTTTTCAACGGATGTTTTGAGGTCTCCTGGGTCCAAATAACCAAGTCTCGCAAAAAGGTATGTATGTGAACAGTCTAGCTCAAAAATGAAAAGTTGTACGAAACTGATATTAAGTATTTAAGATAGGTATATACCTTAGATAGGACAGGAACTTTTTCCTTAAAATCGGCTAACTGGAAGTGCCACTTTATATCAACGGTGAAACACATTTTTACAATTTTCTCAAAAACGGCTCCAACGATTTTTTAGTTTTAAATTAGTTATTAAGCTATTTTATTATTAATATTACTTACTTTTATAATAACATATGTTCATGTAAATTTGTTTTGTTAAACGATCTTGATCGTATGATCATCTGGTGGTTGGAAATATATTTAACAATGCGGTTACCGCTTCGTTTTTTACAGGTTATTTTTTATTTTAGTTACTTTAGTCAATTATTGTTGATTATAATATACAGTGATATGATATATATTTTCTTTATATTATTATATATTATTACAGCGGTGGTGAGGGTTCGGGTGACGGTTGTAGGCCGCAGGAGGTTTCCCTGCCTCAGGACTTTGCTTCTTCTGATACCGCTCTTCTTCCTCTGCCTCCAGCTCCATGTCTCCAGTCTCTCCAGCCCGAGGGACGTCTCCACTCAGGAGTCAGCCAACGACTCGGCTCTCATCCTCAGCATGGTTCCCCAGGTAATTAATTATATTATATAGCAATTACGAAAATATGGGGGAAATAAATATATCTTGGGCCATCCTAAGAATAAGAAGTTCCACCTGAGGAAAATTCAGAATTAGTGGTAAAATTGAGTTGGCTGCACTGCCGGGACACTTTGTAGCTGATTTTGGAACTCTTGATCCGCTCCTTTTTTTTATATAATATTGATAAGAATATTTTAGAGTTGAAATGGTAATTTTTTTTTACTTGATATAATAATTTTTAATCGAAAAAGTACTTGAAACATACTCAAAATTATTAGTCAATCGATGTATGTTAATCTCTCTAGCTTTTTTTAAACAAAATACTTTAGGACTTTCCTAAAAAATTAAATTGAAAAAAATAAAGTCATGTCATTGTGCCTTGGGCCACTCTTTTTTAATGTACCTTGGGTTGGCCCTAGGTACATTTAGTCCGTGGTACAGACGCCTTTTTAGAAAATTATTAACATCCGGCTGAAACTTCTTAAATAGATTCATCGTAACATACAAATATTTTATTTACGAAAATTCTCGGAATAGGAGTGTTTTTAATCTGTAGGTCGGTAAATTTTGTACCAAAAACTCGTAAATACCCATTTACTTTCCACTTGAATCGTAAGATAATTTCCACACAAAGTTGGGAAAAAAGGTAGCCATAAAAAACATTGAGCCGTTTGGTGAGACCTTCTACTCCAAATGAAAACCTTCTACTCAAAATAACGAGATTATATAGGCGAAAAAGTCCAATATTTTTGTAGGCCAAATTTTTTATTGATTTTGTGATCAAATTATCTTAATAACCAAGTGGAAAGCAAATGGGTATTTACGAGTTTTTGGCACCTAATTAAATAGACAACATTTGCCTACCTCCAGATTGAAAACGCCCCATTTTCGAGAATTTTCGTAAATAAAATATTTGTAGGTGATCCTATTTACGAAGTTTCAGCCGCATGTTAATAATTTGCTGAAAAGGTACCTGTACCACGGACTAATTAATATAGTTTCAAAATATGTTTCTTGTTTGAATAAATCCTCGATTTATAATTTTTATTAAATAAGTTCATAAAAGATTATTTACTGACTAAAAGCGGAATATGTTATGGGCTTTGAACAGATGAATTGAAAAGTTAACTTACCAGTGTAGATAAGTGATCCTTATTATTGAATATTAATTATAATTCCTTTAAAAACAGGCTAAAAAGTGTTTTTTTGCTATAAGTAATAAATTAAAACATGTTTAGAAAATAAAATACGCTGTATCATCGCTAACACTGGTTCGATCCCGATTATTTTTTTTTTTTTTTTGTTTTGAGGTTAATTTAATTACCTTTCATTAATTTTATTGTAGAACACATACTTAGTGAGTTAGGCCCAAAAACATTTTTCTTTTCTTTATAACATTTTTTCCTGAATTTTCTCGAGAATGCAGTATATTTAAAAAAAAATTATAAGGACAATAATTAGATAATTATAAAAAAGTTTCATCGAAATCGTTAGAGCCATTTTCGTGCCGCAGTATATAGAAAGACATGTTTTTCACTTATTGCGCAGACGCTATTGCGCATGAAGTACCGAATTTCTGTCACAGGCATCAGTAGTCGAAACCCTACAAAATTAAAAGAAAGAAGCAACAAAATCGGTCCACTTGTTCCTGAGATAATCTTGGCACACTCAGATAGACAGACCGATGGCTGAAAATGTGTTTTCGGACTCAGAGGACTCGAAAAAGATCCGTCGAAAACCGCATATCGGAAATTTGACCCGATCGTGATACTTTCCTTGCCTAGTATAGGTAGGAAAGTAATAAAATAATTGAGGTTACAACAAAACACAATGTTTTTTAAAATAAACAAAGAAAGGTTACTTTCATGACACACCTAGCGGAGAAGTATGTGAACTAATCTCATGCATGGAAGAATATCTTTAATGTTTAAATTAATTACCTAATATAACTTCTAATTAGGTATACAAAAGTTTTCTCTTAATAAAAATTTACTAATGATTTTTTACATAGTGTTTTTTTTTCTTAATTTCCATAAGCTAAAATTAACAACACGTCAATTTTAACAAGATTGCCAGGTTGTCATGTTTTGAAGTTAGTCCACGCTAGAAAGCCTTTCATCAAATTATTAACATCCGACTAAAACTTCGTGAATGGCATCTTCTTATTATAAATTAAAACTTTTTTATTTACAGTGGCAATTAATTAATTACGAGAAAAATCAAGTCAAATTATTGTTATCATTCGAAACCATCTTGGTTTGTTATAACCTAAATTAAATTTTAAATTTGTTTTAGATCTGAACGTTTTGATTTGAAATATAAAATTGCGAAAGGCACACAAAGACTGATAATAATATTTATTTTACCCTTTCAACCCACCCATCACACTCAATCCACTGATACTTGGCTAGACTTATTTATTATTGATTCCTCTCATAACCTATTATCCTATACGCAAATTCCAGTTATCTTCCTTTCCTTTTTTCATTTCATTTCATTTCAATAATGGAACAATGGTCAGCTACAGCCAGTGTTTTGAAGAAATGGTGTGTCTGGAGAGAAATTTTGTCAACAAATAAATTAATAAAGTACCGAAAATTCATGAACACCCGTTTGCTTTCTACTGTAGAAGTTACTTTGGTGTATAACTGTCAACAGATGAACAACGAAATTCACTTGCTTTTATTTACGAGTGCTGCCATCTTCACGTTGCGGTAGGAAACTTTTTAGAACACCCTCGTAACCATAAGATAATTTGATCACAATATCGAGAAAAAAAACTTAGTCTATAAAAATGGACCGTCTAATGTGATTATAGTAGATTATCACAAGCTAGGGAGGAATGATTATTGATAGTTAATATTATGAAAATATTGATATTTCTCTTCCGATATTCCATATTTTACCATCGATACTACCGTGATATTATCGACTATCGATATCATCCGTTTGATATTTTAATATAAATATAACAATTAAAACTATCGTTTTCGGAAAGCGCTCTGATTGTGAATTTGATCGTTAGAAAGAAATATATTCATCTTGTCTGTTTCGTGTAGAATGAAGAAGAGTCTCTTCTAACTCAGTAAACTCAATTATCCCAAATTTATTAGTTATTGAACCTTCTCAAACCGAGGCCACGAATTTTCAAATAAATTAGCATTTCGCTGAATACAATCTGTGAGCGAATGAATGTAAGGCATAATTGGTTGAATGGATATTTCTGTAGGAAAACTGAGGATGACGAAGATTTACAGGAGCTAGAAAATTAATTTTACTAAGGAGGGTAAAAGAATTGATATTTTAATTAATTAATTTAAAGAGGAAAATAACATGTTTTTATGCGCTTATTTGCTAGAGGATCAATGTTTATATTTTTATGTTTATGTTTATAATATCGATGAAAAATTGACTATCGATATATGAAGCCCAATACTTTGATGGGATCGATAGTTAAAGACCGATATAAAATACAATTTGGTTTTTCCCAGAATAGGACAGTTTTTATATTTATAATATGTTATTTTATTTATTGAGACTAAATATTTCTAAATGTTTTTTTAGTAACAGGATGAATAAAACATATTGTACAGTATTTAAGGTAATTGTTAAAAGTGGTTTTTAAAAAAAAAAAGTACGGTAGATTGTGATTTTAAAATTTATTATTGTTTATTTATAATGATTAATTTCTTATGTTGATTTCTTAGAATAGAACCTTGACGATGGATGAGATTTCCGAAACGTTGATTTTGAAAATGTATTATTAATAAAATCAGATTTTATGGAAGTATTATTCACCACAATTATAATATAACAATATCAGAGGAAATAAGTATCTTAATTTTAAAATTAATATTAAATATTAAAGAAATTTAAATCTGTATTTTTTAAAGGAATACGAACTTCCCATAGAAAGGGGAAAATATTAGTTTGAAACAAAGGCTGAGATAATGCCGACATTTTGGTTCCCCATTCGCATTCATTTTCATCAAGCACAACAATTAAAACAAATGGCAAGGTTCGATTCCCGCCGGTATCAAAAGCAATATTTCTTCTTCTTTTGTCCAAAGCCATCAACTATCGATCATATTATCGCACCCTAACGATACCTAATACTCTCTTTTATTACCTCTTTTTTCCCCCAACGTTTTCCCTTTTTCCTCTCTCTTTCCCTTTTATTACTCATGTCTTCGGGTTTAATACAGACCCGGCCTTCCCATTAGGGCAACAGCTCTCTCAATATTTCACAGATTTTTTTTCTGCTAGCCGGAGAAAGGTTTATTGTTCGCTGATACTGCTAGATTTATTATTGTTGTTTTATTTTTGTTATTGTATATGTTTCATATAGTGTACAGGAAAAGAATCTATAGATTTAATTAGTATAGCACATTATATTTAATTGAAGTAATTCTTTTTTTTTACTTTTTAAAAATCATTTTTTTTTTAACGTTTCGGGGCTGCATCCCCATTAAATAAATGTTATTATTAAAAAAAAGACCATTATTTGTAACTGTATTAAATACACAGATTTATTTATTTATATTTTATAATCCATCTAATTTAAAATTACTCTAATGCTAAAGATTAATGACTTAATAATAATTATTACTAATTTGCCATAGCGAATAATTCGCACAGTGCATCAATACTGAACACAATTAAAAAAAATAATAAGAAAATAAAATGTTCATAAATAATAATAATGATAAATTATATATAGGTAATGATAAATAAATAATATATAAATAATGATATCATAAGAAACGGGAATCGATTATTATTTTGTCGATAGTTGCAATTGACCAAGATAATTTTAAATAATTTAAAATGCTTCATTCATTTTTTAAAAGAAATGTTTACAAATTAGAATAAGCTATATCTTTCCTAATAGTTTGTAATGGTTCATATTTAGATGATTTTGTTTTGTTTTTTGGTGACTTCTCTCAGATAATCCGAGATTCAATCAACAATAAAATGTATATTTTTTGGGT